CATATTTGCACTATAATCAAAGCAGTACCCCGTAACCCCTTATAAAGTACATTTAATCTTTTAAAACATGTAATGCATGATAGCTGGTAATATTTATTCAAAAATAGCTAAAACAAAGTAATAAGAAATATAAATTCCCCTATTACCTCAACCCTTTAGTACCAAAAGGGTTCCTCTTATACAAAATAGGGCTCGACTTATTCCTTAACTTCCGAACAAATTCTACTAACAATTCCTACAACATATAAGTGATCCACATCACTTATCATGTCAAATAGTATTAATGAAGACTACAACTCATACCACACAACTTGGGTCTATGAGCCATAATTCATCCTAATGGTCCATATATTAAACTAACCATTCACATAGTATCACTTAACCACCAAAACCATTTATTAGCCATCACTAAGCTAATTTCCAATTTATATAATTTTTAATCAATTAAAAACCTTCACTTAGTGTCACCAACTTTTGCCATTAGCTCTTATAATGAAAACCAAACCTTAATTTAAATCTTATTGGGCTTAAATAGCAAAATTATAACTAAATCAATAGGCTTAAACCATTGAGGAGCAAAACCCAATCTCTCAGGGTTTAATTTGTGCTCAAAACACCTCTTGTCATCCAATTATCCACTAAAAATATTATATCACTATATAAAAACTCAAAACATCCTCCCTAGGATCCAAATAAACAAAAGCTTACAAGAATAAAGCCTTTGGGATCAAAATCCACAAATTTCCTCTTCCAAAAATTGAGAAAAACAAAGAGGAAGGGAAGAGGATTGAAGTAGGGAGTTTACCTATCGCGTAGCCGAGCTCACAATGGCCGTAAAGTCTCCTGGATCCGAGCCTAACTCCCTTTCTTTTTTCTTTCTTCTTCCTCTCTCTCTCTCTCTCTCACACACGTTTCCTTTCCTTTCCTTTCCTTTTCCTTTTCTGCGTTGCTGCGTCTGTTTTTCCTCTTAAATTGCTGATATTAGACTTTGAAGAAAATTAAAATAAAGGGTCCAACATTTTTTATTATAACACAAAAGCCCAGGTCAACTTTGGTAATTTTTTTCATAGTTAAAAATCAAACAAAACCAAACTTTTGATGAGAAAAATTCAAACTCTGGACCTCTATCAAATTATTCTAAATTTTAATTTAATTATAGATATTTTATTTTATTTTTTAAAATAAATTTGAGTCTTAAAATTTTTGGGATGTTACATCAATGATTATGTTTTTCCTAATATTAATTGGAGTGAGATTTCTTAATTAACAATATTTTCTAAAAGGTTGGTTGATAATAGAGTAAAATGACAACGTGCAATTTATGTAACCAACCTCACCTACTAAAATAAGGTTTGTTATTATGGTTGTAATGTATGAGGTGATCTGGGGCATTCATTTTCTTCTCAAATGTTCTTTGCCATTGATTTTAAATTTTTAAAAATATTTTTAATATTATATTTATCAAAATAAAAATATATAAAAATTATACAAAATTTAATATATTTTTATTTTGATAAATATAATATTAAAAATATTCAAAAAAATAATTTAAAATCAACTGTAGAGATCATTTAAGGGAGAAAATGAAGAGCTCAGATCACCTTTTAGGTGATGAGCATGATGAGTACCGAATGCAAATCTTTTTTTTTTAATGGTGACCTAAATATCTTCATTAATGGGAAACATTTACAAAATTACATTAAAAACATAGAAAGGACATCCTTCAGCATTCACCACCATTAAGGCGGAGGATCATGAAATGGTATATAATTCCTTACTTTTTTCTAGCTAATCCGTGAGAAGAATTGTTTGTTTCCTCGTACATGAGATTTATAGAGATCTTCCAATTCACATTTATAAGGTTAACAATATTACTCATAATGTCTTAGTAAGGCCAGTAAGCTAGAGCTTAAATAGCATGATATTTTCCTTGAAGAAAGGGTACAGATATCAATCCTCGAGTGATTCAAGATGGGGAACAAATTGCGTGAGTGGTAGGTGATGTGCATGTTGTGCGTGTAAGACCTATGCGTGCGTGTGATGGATAATTTTAAAGATATGAATAATTTTAATAGGGTCATTTCCTTGGTCATTTTTCTTTAATTTTTATATTTATATTTGTAATTTTTTGGTTTTTTTTGGTATTTTTAAGGTCCTTTCTGGTAATTTTCTTATCAATTAAAGGTTAAAGCTAATTTTGTTAATGGTAAAGGTGATGCCGTACCATTTTTAAAAGTTAAATAGGAAAATTATATTAAAAAATGAGTTTAGGATTTTAAACATCACCTATAGTTTAAGAATAAAATTGACTTTTAACCCATATTAATTTTTTCTTAATATAGGGGACCACCATAATTTACTATAAGGTGAATTCAAGTAGAAGATGACAAGTTGCTTATTTATCTCCACCATAATAAGGACCATACACATGACAAATAAAATCATACTATACGTTGTTATTAATATTGCATATAATGAAAATCTAGATCAACCTGCCTGGTTAAATTAGTAAACTATTCTATCAGTATCTTAATTAGTTTAGTAAAATATTTTTTATGATTAGTTTGATCATAATTTAATTACAATTTTGACCACTAACCCTTGAATCAATGCCTTAATTGGCTCAATAATTAATTCAGTTTTTAGAACCTTAAACATTGGTATAAAAAATAGTCACATCCTTTGGGCCCAATTTTCATTATATAATTACTAATACTAATTTCCTAAATTGGTAGGAGCTGCTTTCCTATTTGGAAGATGCATTGAACATAATTGATAGCATATCCAACATATATTAGATCAATTATACAAATTTCTAATTCTAATTATAGATTGGATATATTTGATGAAAATGAATTAATGTAATTAATGTAGATTTCAAATCATATTTCATATAAAAAAAATTATATATTTAACCTTATATACTTAAAAAAATTTAATTAAATCAAAATGATTGTACCTTTTAAAAATTATGTAATTATAACAAATTCTTATTATTAATATTATTAGCGTATTAAAATTTACATGTTTTAATTTAGTTGAATGAAATTATATGAAATATATGAAATTAAATATATAAGTCTTGCCCTTTCATATATAATTTAAAATTAAAATTATCAAACTAAAATAATTTAAAATAATTATCCTATTCCACCAATGTCAGTTACATAAACCCTTAAAACCTAACATGTCTCAGCTTCTTTGTTGACTGTTATATTCTTGCTACAAAACTAGCACCTACTTCTGGAATTCTACTTCTCTCATTCTGGTGTTACGTCATAAAAGGTAAATGGTTGTTAACTTTAGAATTTTAGAGTTTCTTACAGCATATCTGGTTTTAAAGTTTGGTGGTTTGTTTTTGCCTAAAACCAAATACACACTTTTCATGGTTAATATATAAGCTTAATAAAGCATTTGTTTATAAAAGAAATGTATGAATTGCTTTATAAGAGAACATATGAATACATACATATGAATCAATGGATGTTGATTCTAGTAGAATGAGGTAGTTTTTTATAACTGAAAAACTCAACGTGATGAACATGCCTTAAGTAGAATTGTTCTTATGTATGCTTTACACCCGTCCATATCAATTCAAATTTTGACAACTGAATTGGACTTTTTTTTGGACTTTGAAGGTAAAATACAAAAAATGTCTTGCGTTTGCTTGCAGTAATATAATGCTTTTGTATTATTTTTTAATTCAATAATGTTTTTGTCTTGAGAAGAAAGAGAAAATAGTTTATTTGTAAAATCATTATAAACATTTTATTGAGCAAGTACAATTTGTTTTTGGGAAGGCTAGTAGTTCTTGTTTCTTGTTGGCTTCAATCATTATTATTAGTATCTTGGTTGTACATAAGCTGTTATGGTAGGTTGAAAGATGGTATTTTGCAAAATTTTTAACTTGTGTTGATCCTTTCTTATTTCTCACTAAAAACTTACATTTTTCCCTTTCCCAATCCTATTTGGGAAGCAAAACAAAAAAAAATGCTTGTGTTATTTGAAATATTAGTAGGTTTTTTTTCTTCTTAAGGTGCTGGATGAAGGGAAGCTTTCAAAAGTTGATGTAATAATGCTGATGATTCTTGCCTTAATTGTTCAAGAATTCTATACATTTGGTACTATATTGTAATTTTATTTCTTAATTTTTTTTGCAGAAAATATAACTTTTAGCCTTAAATTCTTCCTCAATTATCAATTTGATCAGTCCTTAAAGTTTGACTCAGAAGTTAAAACAATTTAGTCCCTATATTTTATTTTCTTAACCAATTCTTATAGTTACAATTCAGTTCTTATAATTTCTTATCTCAATAAACTATAAAAACTAAATCAATAATTAAAAGAAAGTCTAAATGCTAAAATTTATATTACTTCAAATTGCTTTTTTCTTTTCTATATTTTTTCAATCTTTAAGATATAGAGATCTACTACATATGTCTTTTATGTCACGTAATTTGGCGAACCTTAAAAGTTTGCATGTTTTCATCCTTCCATTGAGTCTAGCAATGCTATATTTTGTTTTGATTTCTTATAAACCTAATATTTGTGGGCTTTGTGAAGCTTATGAGATGACTTATGAGCTATATGTGGCACAATGTCTCTTTTTCCATTTTGCTTAAAGCTTCAGTCAAGTTGTTCTTCTACATCTTAATTAATTTTTTTAGGTCATACAGGACTTATGTAATGAATTTAACAGTGCAGAAATAGCTAGACAGGTTCTTGCTTTCTCCATCTCTCACTCTATGTTGACTTTATCATTGTTGAGTTTGCTTCATCTTCTCAATCTTCATAACATGAACAGCTCACTAATTTGATCACCATGTTAGGTTGTTGAGTTGAAAGCATTTTCTAAGTTTGAAATTACTTTAGAAGCTTTAAAGGCTGCGAATCTATTAAATGAAAGCAAAACTAGCAAAGGATTGGAAAAGTTCCTAGAAGAACATTATAAGAATGAAACATTATCTGTGTTTGACTCAAAGCTTGGGAATGTGATACAGGAAAAGCTGGTAGGGCATCAATCATCTCTTCAAATTTTTTGTGGTGAAAGATTCTCTACTTTGCAACTAAATTTGAAATTAACATCATTTTAACTTGCAAAAAAATTAAATATATTCATAATAATACTGTTATGGAGTTAATGAGAGGTGTAAGAAGTAAGAACTCAGTTTAAAGAACTCATAAATAGCATGCCATTACAAGATATAGATGCAATGAGCTTGGATTTATCTCGTAGTTTATTGGGAGACAACTTAAAGCTTAGTGAAGCTGAGGATACAACTAAGATACGTGAGAGTGAAGTTCCATTACTGGAGAGGTAAAATCTTACACTGTAATGTAAGCGAATTGGTTTTATGTTTAAACACTGTGGTTTGCTATCATTTGAACTTGTGGTCTCTTAATTTTTTTTTCAAGTGTCTAATTTTTCTAATTTTCAATTTTTTGGTCTGCTGCCTTTATGATTTTTCTAGTTTTATGGTTAAACATTGTGATTTTTGTAATTTTTGTATGATTTTCAACTTATGACTATAGCAAAACATTCTTGCATTTGGTCATATATCTAATTGAATAGCTCAATAACTTTTAATTTTAGTTTAGAAAAAATATTTATGATACTATTATTGTATTAAAACATTAAGATAATTCGGTAGTTAACAAAAGAAGACAATCATGGACCAAAAATGTGAACAAGGAAATCTTCATCTTATGCTTGGGTGGTTTATGATTGCTCATGCTGTTCACACAATATTTTTGAATATGGTTTGTTCTACAGCTGTTATTTTTTTCAACATATTGCTCGGATAAATGATGCATGTCCAAGTAGAGCCTTTTGAAACTCATAAGCCAATTCTTGAAGATTTAAATCACAAGAGATGGAAGTTGTTTATGGTCTTTTATTGTGACTTGTATATGTTTAGTTCTGTCATATTATTATGCATTTTATAGTCTATTGAATTATGTTCTTCAATTGTTTTAGGTTCTATTAGTAGTTGTGTTTTACTGCTATATGTTTTGTTTAGTCATGTTTAAATTGGTTGCTTTGGCTTGCTCATTGGGCTCCTAATAACAATCTAGATATAACTTGTTGGAACTAAATGTTTAATAGAAATAAAATTCAATCTAAGCCTAAATTGAATGAGAATCTCATACAATTTTGATAAGACTAAGGGGGAGAATCTCTAATAAGTCTAAGATGAAAATATTCATATCTATATGAGGTTAAGCTTTGAGCAAATTGTCACAGATTAATTGTAACATAGCATCACACTCCAAAAGTTGTGATTCCAAATCTACCACCTTAGTTTCACTTAAGACAAAAGGAGATGGGGATGATCGACCATATACAATTTTGAAAGGTGTATAACCAGTTGTTGTGTAAAAACTAGTGTTGAAAGAGTACTCAGCCCACAAAAGGTACTTGCTCCATAATCTAGGTTATTTATGAGCAAAATAGCGTAGGTAAGTCTCAATGCATCTATTGACAACTTTTGTTTAACCATCACTTTGTGGGTGATAAGCAGTACTCATATGAAGCTGTGTACAACATAATCAAAAGAGTTCTTACCAAGATGTACTAAGAAAGAGTAGGTCTCTCCTAGAAATAATAGATTTGGGTAGACCATAAAGACCAAACACTTAACAACTAAAGAGAGCAGCAATAGATTTAGCAGTGACAGGATGGGAAAGGCCAAGAAGATAAATATACTTACTAAAACGATCGACCACAACAAAGATGGTGTCAAAGCCTCCACATTTAGGTAACCCAACAATAAAATCCATCGAAATATCTTCCCATACATGCTGTGGAGGTGGGATAGGTTAGAGGGGTCCAATCGATGATAAAGTCTAATATTTAAAAACTTGGCATGCCTGGAAATCTTGTATATGTTGTTTGACATCCTTCTTCATATGGGGCCAAAAGAAATGAGTCTAAAACCTTTTAAGAGTACGAAGATAGCCCCATAGCCCCTTATAAGTTAGATCTAAGTGTTAGATGATCAAGAATAACCAAGTGACCATCATAAAAAAGTTTGCCATCAACTAAAGCATAATATGGAACAGTAGAAAGGTCATAAAGAAGACACTATTTTATCTGTTGAGTAGTTAGGTCTAGTACAATCCAAGCATCAAGATCCTCAAAATTTGTAGGGAAAAGAAATCTACATGTTGAGGAAGACAGGATCATGCATCAACCTCACTATTAGAACACCTATTCTTGTGTCGGATAATGAAATCAAAGGGTAACAACTTTATTAAAAGTCGCTGTTGTTCAGGAGTGGATAGCTGCTACTCTATTAAATATTTGAGACTGGAATGATCCATATAGATTTCAAAATGATGAAAGAAGATAATGTCTCCATTTTTGGAGAGCTAATACTAAGGCTAATAATTCTCGATCATAAGTTGATTTATGACGATTCAAGAATGAAAAATCCTTACTGAAATAGGCAATAGGATGAGTATCCTGAATTAAAATGCCTCCAACACTTAATGAAGAAGTATTATATTCAACTATGAAAGGTCTGGTGAAATCATGTAAGTGTAAAAGAGGAGCATTTATGAGGGCATGTTTAAGCTTTCAGAATGCTTAGTCTACCAAGGTGGTCCATTAGAAGGCTCCTTGTTTAGTGAAGTCAGTGAGTGCTCAAGCAATATGCCCATAATGATGAACAAACCTTCGATAATAGCCTGTAAGTCCCAAAAACCCTCTTAATTCAGTTGCATTATTTAGCCTTAGCCATTCCACAACAGTTTAGATTTTTGTAGGATCTATGGCTACTTCCCTTGATGAGATGACATGTCAAAGGAAGTCAATTTAAGACAATAAAAAAGAAAACTTCTTAGTATTAGCAAAGTAGGAATGCTGTTGTAAACTTGGAAGTACAGTTTGTAAGTGAACTAAGTGATGCATAAGAGTAGAACTAAAAATTAGCATATCTTTAAAGAAGATTAGCATGAAATGCCTTAAGTAGGGTCTAAATAAATCATTCATGGCATATTGAAAAGTTAAAGGAGCATTGGTGAGTTTGAATGGCATGACAGTAAACTCATAATGATCTAAATGAGTTCGGAAAGTAGTTTTATGAATATTTTTAGGTTTAACTTTAATTTAGTGGTATCCCAAATGCATATTGATCTTTGAAAAGACTGTGGAGCCATGTAATTCATTAATGAGTTCATCCATGTTGGGGATAAGGTACTTGTCAGGAATAGTAGGATTAAGCTTGCAAATGGACTTCCACTGGGGCAGATGAAAGCTTTGGCTAGTAATTCTATAACTTGTCTCTTAATTTCATCTTTTTAGTAATAAGGGCTTCTGTATGGTCTAATATTGGGTGGTTTAGACTTGGATTTTAAGTTGATAGAGTGGAATTTGCTTTAAAAGGGAGGAAGAGTAGTAGGAGTATCAAAGATAGAGGCATAATCATTAAATACTTCCTGGAGTAAATGTTGGAATATTGTTTGATTTGTATTAGTCATTACCTAATGAGTCATGGATCGTAAACTTGCTTCACTTTAACTCCCTGTTTGGACTCTTTGTAACTTATACCTTTTATCGTTGACCTAAAAGACCATAAACATACGTTGTCAATTTGCTTGGACCGTATTTAGTAAAGCCAACCATTTGATGCCCAGAACTAGATCCACACCCCTAAAGAAAATGGGTAAAAGTCTTCAATAATTTCTAATGATTGAACTTTAATCGAGACTTAGGATATTTTTCATTACAATGAATAATGTGACCATTACTAATTTGTACCCCAAAGGAAGTGATTGGTTTTGAAAGAATTTGTAGATCCTTCACCAGGATAGATGAAATGGAATTATGGGTAGAATTGCTATAAATTAAAATGAGTACCTTCCTTTGCTTTAACAATCCTTCCACTTTCATAGTTGTACTCGTTGGGTGTCTTAGAATAGCATAAAGAGATAAAAACATGAACATCTTGGCCATCCTCTAAACTTCTTGCCTCTAAATTTTTAGTCTCCATATCGAGTTCTTCTGTGATTTCCATTAAATTTAGATTTCCATTTTTGTAGTGATAGCCTAGGGTTAATTTGTCTCTACAGCGAAAACAAAGAGCCTTATCACATCATTACTATTTTTCCATGTCCCAAGAGGAGTTTGTGCATTGCATGTTGGGAAGTGGAAGGGGCAATGTGTTGAAAGGAGTTGTAACTGCTCCTTTAGAGTCTATAGTCTGCCATGTAGAAGATGCAGCAGTCCAATTTGAAGAAGAAGTAATACTTGCTGTCCTGGGTCCTCTAGAATATTAAAGTTTAAACTCGTACTCTAAGGCTAAGCTGAATGCTTTGTAAACAGTCCTGGGCTTTTGTATTCTTACATCAGCATTTAATTCTTCTTTGAGCCCATTCAAAAAAAATCCCTAATAAACAATGTTCAAGCCAATTGCTAACTCTCGCTGATCTCTTTACAAATTCTAGGCAATATTCTTGCAATGTGCCTACCAGTTTGATTCCACATAAATATTCATCAAGATTTTAAAATTCGACTAGCCCAAAATTCTCTTACAGTGTGCGAACTAAATCTTCCTAATAGATAATCGTCCTTTCAATGTTTGCCTAAGTGAAAAGGTTAAGTGTGCCTCCTTCTAAATACATGGTAGCAATATCAACTTTCATGACTTTAGGTGTTTGGGAATATCTAAAATATTTTTCTGCTTTAAGTACCTAGCCTTTTGGGTTTCCTCCCTCAAATTTAGGAAAATCCATCTTCGTATAAGGTCTTTTTGAAGGATTTTAAAGCCACCAAGGTACATCACGTTTATCTTCATCACCTGATGACTGTGATGAGGATTTTTATTTCTAGAATTTTGAACAGTATCCTCTAAAAGATGCTATTACTGTGCTTTCAAAGCTACTAAGTCGACAGAGATATCATCCATTACATTCATTTAAGTAGATAGTAGATTTAACTGTTGTACTATAGATTCTAAGAAATTTGGAGTTGCAGAAAAAGAGTCATTATAGTTATTAGATCTTGTATTCACCATCCTGGGGATAACCAGGCTTTGATACCAATTTGTTAGAAATAAATATTTAATAGAAATAAAATTCAATTTGGGCCTAAACTAAATGAGAATCTCATACAATTTAGACAAGACTAAGGGGGAGAATCCCCAATAAGTCAAAAATAAAAATATTCATATCTCCCCATAAAAGAGTTTTACAAAGATTATATAGCATGCAACTGCAATCTACGGTTAAGTGACATCAAAATAACTGATCTCCTAATTAATTGACAACTCAGCATGTTGGGATAGGAATCTAAAACTGCAACTATATCAAGTGGACACATAGATGATAGAAGTTATTTAACATGTATAACTTTCTTATCAGCAGAATCCATCTTTGGATTTGGGCTAATGTGTTTCTTGTGCCTTTTATATATTAATAAGGGCATGCTATCATAACTACTTTTGTCCCAAATTATAAGAAACAAGATTACTATATATCAATAAAATTCAATAATGACACTTTACAAAATTACTTTTTTTAAAAAAATAAACTTTTAAAAATGTCATTCATTTTATATAAATTTAAATCTATACACTTAATTATTACATTATAATCCTTTTAATTACCTCTCCACTTAAAGGGTAATATTTTTATTTTTGTTAAATTTTCTTATATTTTAGGACAACAAAATACCTCTAAAGTTATCTTATAATTTATGATAGAGGGAGTAAAATTTTTTATGACCAACCACCTGGGTGTTGAAATTTTATGAGTTTAGTCATGTCTTAATTGCTTGTTATTGCACGATTTACCTGTGGGCTTGTATTAAAAAAAAACTGACTGCTTCAAATATGGTTTTTTACCTACCGCCCTTTTTTGTGACTTGTGGTTCATAGAATAGAGCAACAAGAAGAGGACAGTAAAGAGGCAATAGAGGAGGAACCTGAGACAGAGGATGAGCTAGATGATGAGCTGGATAAAGATGAGGCTGAATTTGAGGAGCCATTTATTCCTTTCAGTGAAGCAGAATCAAGTAGGAAGAGACAAAGGACAAGCCATGACATTGTTGTAGAACTGTTGATAGCTGCAATGAAGGAAGCTTCTTCCACTATGATCCAAGTCTTGTAAAGTTTTAGCAGTTTATATGCAAACATGTGTCAGGAATCTCAAATGGTTTCAATAGCTAAATAGCTATGCAAGCAACTATTAAAAGTTGAAGGTTTGACAGAGGATGAGATCAATAGAGCTCATGTCAGAATTGCTAAATCTCAAATGCTTATGGCTAGATTTCCACATATTCTAAATGAAAACAAAGCTGGTGGGGATCGTAGTCTCATCAACTAGCTTCTAGGTTGATGGTTTTACTTAGGAGTATGAAAAATATATATTTTTCTTTTTACGTATAGTTTAATAATAATATGATTAGCTGTGATTTGAAATATGGGCACTATGAATTTGATATTCTGTATATGCTTTACATTAAGTCCTATCAGACTTAATATTTTTAATGTGCTTTATTTTATAAAAGTTGCCTTAAATTATATGATTGTCTGATATTATGAATCGGGTTTGAGTTTTTGGTTTTTATTTTTCTGTATTTCAAATTGAGGTAATTTTTTCTGTTAAATACTTAAATTATAAACATAGGCAAAAGCCTACATATTAGAAAAGGAACTAAAAGATAATTAATTCATGTCCATAGGTCTATATCTAAGATTAAAGCCCATGATGGCTAAACACTCTAGATGTAATAATTCAAAAATTTGAATAAGATTAAAATTAATGAGAAAGTATTTTAATTATGTTTAATTTTTTAATTAATTTTGGAATAGTTTAACTGACAGTGAAATGGTGGGGCAATGGAAATGAATGTGAATGTTAGGTCCCATGTTCGAACCTTCTTGAATGTCAAAAAATATTTTTATTTTCTTTCATTATGAAATTGCCATTTTGCCCTCGAAAAAAAATCAGAGACCATCACACGCATACCATCTGAATTTATTTCGTCCCACCATTTCTTCATTTTAGCAAGAGACCGAGAACGAGAGCCTCAAACTGAACCCTAAGCCATCCTCTCATTTCTTCATCTTCTTCCTTCTTGTCTCTATCTTGTCGCCACTGATGGTATGTGTAGAAGCTTGACTGTCGCTGCAAGAGGTGGAATCGCAAGTTCTTCATGCACAATCGATCATCTCCCTTGTCTCGTGGCTGTGGCATTTTCTTGAGTGTGAATGGCTTTGAGTTTTAATTCTCTTCTTTCTCCTCCATGTTCAAATGACCTGCAACTCATCCTTGCATCATCCATTATTGATTTGAGGTTAGGTGCTTCAAATTTTTCTCTCTTCTCACTCGCATCGGATCTGTATGTGTTTGGGTAGCTAAAGATTTTGATTCCTTTCCTTGTTCAGCTATCATATGCGAATATGTTGAGAAAAAAAGATGGGGCTTCAATGAGTTGAGGATTGAAGTTTAACAGAGCATTTTTTTTGTAGTAATTTCATTATTATATTTTGGTTGCTTCCTGATAAAGATGGATGGCTTTGGTTTTCTCTAAGTTTAAAATTGATTTTCATTGTAGGAATGAAGTTGGGAAGACAGATTAATTCAAATATTGATATTACGAAATTATTGGGTTTAGATTTGAAGAGAAGATTTTAGAATTAAAATTTGAAATTTAATGCTTGCAATGTGTTTGATAAAATGCTTGTTAGGAAGATTTTGCTTGAATATGTATTTTCTGAAGTTCCATGAATTTTTATGAGAAGCATAGAAGGTTTGAGTACTATTTATTTGTGAGTTTAACTTGAGTATTGCAAAGAAATTTAATGAATATGGAGCTAGTATATGATTAATTAAATTTTTAGAATTTTGTGGTTGATAATTTATAAATTGTGATACAGTTTTGTGACTTTCTTTAATTTCTAGATGTAGCTAAGATGTTTGATAAAATGAGTAATGGAAGAATTATAGATTGATAGGGTGATTATGTGCTAGTGGTATGCGGGTGTGTATATATATACTTACTCACACACTCTTGTTTAATGTTCAGTTATGTGTTAGAACTTAGAAGCATCAAAAGACAGGCTAAAGTATGATCAAAAGTATTAAAGGGATTGGAGAAACTAAGACTTGAATTATAATAATTTGAAATTTGGTTGATTATAGAATTGTCAATGTTGGACGATAATTTATTTAACTTGAGTAAAGGCCATTGAATTTCTTTTTTCAATATCGAATAGGGGGTTTGGAGGAAGAAAATCTAGATTGAAGTGGTAAAAAGTAAATTTTGAGCCTTGGGCACATTACAGATAAATGGATAGCGTCCCAACTAATTTTTCAATTAAATTTATCTTTTCTAAAATGTTACATTTTTATATAAATCATTTTAATAACAACAATGTGATTATTGTTCATTTTGATACTTAAATTACTTTATTTTGTGAAACTCTTTTTACCAAATTTGATAATTTTAGTTATTCGATAAATGCAAGTGTGGACTTTAATTAAGAGATTTGATTCTGGAAATTATTGGATTGATATGGAAAATGATTCATTTGAGTTTGACATTGAAATGAAAATTTTATTTTAATAGTGAATATTTTCTCGCATGTCTAAAATTACATTTGAAAAGGAATTTATACAAAATACCGGTTGCTAATGGTAGTCCCGTTAGCCCTTGACATGCCTTGGTTAATGATAATTAGTTTGTTTCCATGAACTTTGTTCCTATGTTTGTTATTTTTGGGTCTAACACCCATGTTTGATTTCATGGCTTCGAGCCGTATTTGATTAGGATTACTTTTATGGACTGTGCGTTCACGTTTGTTTTATAGTTTAGACTATATTTGGTTATTTATTCTCATGGATTGTGTGTCCACGTTTGTTTTCGTGGCATAAGTCGCGTTGGGTTATTTACTCTCATGGATTGTGTGTTCACATTTGTTAATTATTTTGATATAAATCTTTATAATATAGATTTGATTATTTGGTGATTTTACATCTCATTGATTTTAATTAATAAATTATTTATAATTATTTATTTTATTTATTTGCTTCCTTTTAATCAAGTTATAATAATATTTGATATGATATTTCAATGGTTTAAGATTTTATTTAAAGTTATATAAATCCTTTTATTTTAAAGTTTATTAAATTTTATGAAGATCATTGCCTCTTTAACTTACATAATAGTTTCAGTTTTTCTTTTCTTTTTTCATATTTAATTATTTATTGTTGGGATGTTATTCACTGAAAAAATATTTTTGGTTTCAAATAACATAGCTGACCCTGTACCTCCATCCGATCCTTGAAGGGATTTTGCTCTTTGATTGAAATTGAGATGCTATTTTGGTTGATTTCTATTTTGATATAAAATCATAAGTTATATATTGTATTTTATAAATAATGTTTTAGGCGTTTTACATAGACTATAGTTAGAGTCTTGATTCTCATATTGTACTATTTGATTGTTGTTGAGGAGTAGAATTTTCTTTATTGAATTGATGTTGTAAATTTGTGTGCTGTAAGATTTTTGGGAGGTTCTATTTTCAAGAGGAGTTGTTTCAATTTTTTTTAAAAAAAATTAGTTATTCGCAGCTTTTATATATAAAAAAATGTATTGTAAAGTTATTTAATTATATTAATTACATATTCAGATATTAGAAATTAGAGTTTTCTTAAATTAAGGCTTTTGGGATATAGGGTATTATTTTATATTCCATGCTAGTCATGCCTTATTTTTGGAGCGTGACACTAGAGGTAGTTTCAAATTATGCAAATCTAAAAAAAGTGTATTGCATATTAACTAGTTTGTTCAAGTATTTACTTCCTTAAACATATTATTATAAGTAGTATTTTCCTACTATTATGAGATTCCGAAAGCTTGGTGTAACTTATCTTGATTTTTTTGGATGTTCTCAATGGCTTCTAGTGAATCAGAAACAAATTAACTTTTTTGAAGTCAAGATTTCAACATATTTTTTATAGAATGAAGCTTTATTTTTGGTAAACTTATATCAGGTTAGATTGGTTTAGAAAGAAAAAACAAAGAAAGAAACAATGCACTAACTCATTCTACCTTAACAAGACAATGCATTGATGTCATCCCCAATGAACAAAAACAACAAAAGCATTACATCCCATTGTAATGCCTTTAATTAGTATAACTCAGTGTGTCAGTTGTGGAGGAGCCATTAGAGACTACAATAGTCATTGGATTACTAGCTTCACTCATAACATTGGTCAATATAGTCCACTTGAAGCTGAAGCTTGGGCATGCTTACAATACCTACAATTGGCATGGGATATAGGTTTTAGGGCTTGTTTGGATTTGGTGCTTTTAGCTTTTAGAAAGTATTTTTCCACTTAAAAAAGGTGAAATATTGTTTGAATACTTAAAGATGTGCCAAATTGACCTTCCAAAAGTACACTAAAAATAACGGGAAAGTGGATTTGCCAATGGCCTGGCTGGAACTTTTCAAATGCAAATGGGACGCTAACCTTGGGGGTGAAGAGCAAAAGCAAATATTCAAAAGGGTTTCAATTCATTACTATCTCTTCAATAGTACAATTTTCACTTTGACAATGCCAAACATTGTGTGAGAAAAAGTTTTGGAGAATCACATTCAAGGATTATCCAAAAGAATTATTACATATAATGATTAATTCAGAATTATTTGTTGTCAAAATGATAATGGAAACTTTGTTATAAAAAATGGTAATGGAGACTTGTTTTTTATATTTTTAAGAATGGTGACTTGTTATTTGTTCTTATTTATGAATAATTTTTTTTGAAATATTTTTAGATGTGATATTTTCAAAAAAAATTTACTACCGCATTTTTTTATAGTACTCCCTCCTCCATTTTTAATAATTTTTAAAAATAATTTCATAATAAATATGTAATTAGATAATAAATTCTTTTTAAGCATAAAATATTTTAAAAATTTCAAAAACACGCAAAGCAAAGAAAAGCCATCAATATTAATATGTTAATTCTTAAACTGTTATAAAGAACATATAAAAATATAGTCTTTTGATATGATACTTAAATGTATAAAAAATCATGCATGTGATATGCTTAAACCAGATTTCATATATAAATAAAGAAACAGAAAAAGCATTGAGAGAATGAAACAAAAATAGAAAGCTTGTTTGTATACATGCAGCTACTTAATTTTATAATCATATACTCCCTCCGTTAAAAAATGTAAGATATTTTAATTAAATTTTATCCTCTAATAAAGTAGTTACTTACTTTTAAATTAAGTCTATGTTTTTATATTTATTTTTATTAAATACACTATAATAAATATAAAGTTATTATCAATAGGGACATTTTTGAAAAGAATACAATACTTACACCTTAAAAAATTAAAAATATTTTACATTTTTTAATAT